TGAGCCCTCTCTGGGTGGTTGTTTTCCTTCACTGAATTCCAGGGCGTTTCAGAACTCTCTGCGCCGAAGCGATAAATCATGTCCACGGCACTTTTTCTTGGTCGTGGTGTACACGCTGCTCTATTATTCTTATCACTTTGTTTCCGAGAGATTTTGCAATATTTTTATTGGAATCAGACAAGAACGTGGTGCGCAGAAAGGGAGGTTCACCCCACAGCCCCCGAGTCCCCTTTTCAATGGCATCGTCTCCAGCTTTTGAATTCCATGGATTTGTCCACAGCCAGGAACCGAAGGGCAGGAGGACGGAGGCGGGAAGGGGGGGGCTGCAAGAGGGGGAGGGAAAGAGGGTCCCTGGGGTTGGGGGCAAAGACCGGGTTCAGGGGACACGTGCCCGCCCCCTCCCGTGATTTTGCAAGAAGGGGGTGACCGAGGATTGAACTCAATGGAGAGGAGAAGAAGTCGGCCTCTGCCGCTGATGTCCTCTGTGTTCGACCCAAAGTTTCAGAAGGAGCAAGAAAGGGGGAAGGAACAGCCCAGGAGCGCACGAAGAAGCCCGTTCACCCTAAGGCTCGGGAGGAAAGCAACGCCCAGCCCTCTCTGAGCCCGTGAGCCCAGCGGGGACAGCCCTCGGATGACAAGCAGGCTGGCCTGGGATCAAGGATCATGACGAGGCCGAATGATCTTTGGGGCCAGGTCTCTCTTGGTCTCGCACACCACCCTAACCCTAACCCTAACCCTTCCCCTTCCCCTTCCCTGCAGGGCGGTCTGAGTGTAAAGAAACTAGGCCGTTGGGCAGGGCCGATCCTGCCCCCTTGGAAGCAGTGCAGAATCCACCTGCCGTCAACCGGCCCACCGTCTCTCCCTTTCCCACTTTCTCTGGCCGACGCTTACCGGCTCTGTGGGCGGCGGAGACGTGGGTTCGCTGTGGATGTTCCCCCGATAGGGACCCCACGACAGCCCCTCGGGCACGCTCTGCTTGGCCCGCAGCTGGCTCTCCCCTTCGGACGTCACCAGCTCCAGCTCACCTGGAAAGAGAGAGAAGGGGAAGAAAGGGTTGAGGGAGCCGAAGGAAGGGGCCGAGGACACCCGGCTGCCTCCTGGCTGTGGCAAGAGGGCGTCTGCCGCCGTGGGGTTCCCAGACAGTCCTGAACTATCACAGGAAGATATTTTGGCGTTACACAATCCAAGAGGTCAAGCCGGAAGCCACTCTAAGGGCGATTTAGTCCACCCTCTGCCAGTGTGGATTAAAAGCCTCCAGGAAGGGCCACCGACCCCCCCCCTCTGAATCTTAGTCGTGGGAGGAAAGCAGGCTGCAAATCAACCAACCGAACAAAGGAAGCAAGGAACAGGCGGGAAGCTTTGGCTAAACCTGTCCCTTGTCGTGCTGCTGACTTGCAGGAGATAGTCTCGCTTTCTTTTTGCACGGGGAAGCACCGCCGGTTCTATTCCTCCCCCTGAGTCTGAAGAGGCGCAGAAGGGTGTGTGTGTGCTCTGCCATCTTTCTATGTAACAGGGAGCGACTGTCCTGGGGCAGCCCAAGAGTTCTCGGAACGCTCAAGGTGCGAAGGAGACAGCTTGTGACGAGGGACCCTCCGCTGGCCCAGCCTCGAGAGCAGCCAGAGGGCAGAGGTCTGTGAACCTTCAATGCTGCCCAGAGGCCTCGTCAGAGCCTCCCTCCATCAAGACCAGTGTTGCCAACTCTGACCGGCAGCAGCTTCCTTAGACACCCACCCAGAGAGGCTGCTGGGGGTTAAGAGTTGGGACCCTCAGGGTGCTGAGCAGGGGACGTGAGGGGGGTCTCCCTTCCAGCTGTTTCTCCTTCTAAAACATGCATTGCTGGGGAATAGCTACCTTTCCCGCACCCTGCCGGATAAAGCCGCATCGTGGCCCTGAGGGCAGAGGTGTCGTCCTTCCGGCCACTGGACACGCTCTGTGGCATTTCTCCAATGGCCTTCTGAGGTCACTCCCCCAACCCCATCTTCTCCCCAGCCGCCCCTCCTGTGGTCCCCACCAGTCGCCCTGCCGGGGGTCCCCATGGGGCCAGGGAGGAAATGAGTGGACCGGGGGGGGGGGCTCAGAGCCATTCTGGCAGGCCTCCGTCCCAAAGGGAGTCTGCCTTTTGCTCCGTCAGGACCCTCAGCCAGCCAAGGCGGCCTGGTGCTGTAATGGCCTTGATCTTCCGATAAGCGCCTCGGTTTAATGGGGGAGATAACATGTAAATCGGCCCAGAAGGCTGGCCTAAAATGTTTTAGCTGCACCTTCATCTTTCAGCGAGCAGATAAGATGGCAGCTAAGCAATACCTCCGATGGATGCACAGTGGAGGCTCCCAGTGCCCTCCTCGCTGTCTCTGGAAAGAGGGGGAAAGGGCTGGCCTGGCCTGGCAGGACCCCCACCCCACCCCCTTCACAAAGCCCTACAAGCAAGGTGTATCTGGGCAGGGAAGGTGGGAGGGAAGTCCAGATCCAACCTCCTGGGTGGGGAAGAACCCCACGGGACCAGACTGATCCTTCCACCAGAGGATGGCAAACACACTAAGCAGAGCAGAGCAGAGCAGAGCAGAGCATGGAGGACGGCAAACATACTAAGCAGAGCAGAGCAGAGCAGGGTGGGTGGGGGCTCAAGGTCTCTGTGCCCTTAATGCTGAGCCCAAAGGCAGAGGGGGTGCGCCATTGCTAGAGAGGTTTCTACACCCTCAGCAATCCAAGCGGAAAAAAACTCCAGTTCCCAAGCTGGCCTCCTGCACGCAAATACGACACACAACACAGCCACGGGTGGCATTCGCCTTTCCGAAGAAGGGGCTCCTTTTTCTGGACTGGGCCAAAAAGGATGCTAGACGGCACAATTATTTGACTGTGATTTCGTTTGTTTCCCCACACCTTCCTTCCTGCACGTTCTCCCATTTAGCCTGACATAGACTCTGTGAGGGAGGACGCCCACGGTCCATCGGCAGGTTTCATGGCTCTGTGGGGATTTGAACGCACGCCATGGTGCGGCATCTGACAGAAGGCAGCTGGGTTCCCCCAGCAGAAACCCCGGGGATTATCTGGAAGTAGCTCCTCCTACTCGGACGCTGCCACTGTTGCTTCGCATCAAGCCCGCCTCAGTGGAGGGGAGAAAATGGGTTCCACAGCCAACACGGTGTCCATTATTGATCCAGGTTTTGAGTTTGTTTTAAAAAAAGGTTTGCCAACATTTACGAATGCCAAATTCTGTGAATTCTGGCCCCCACAACACCCCTCCCTCCAGGAAAGCTCTCCCTCTGCAGGGGACCTCTTGAGGGAGTCTGCCAACTCAGGGTGGGTGGGTTCAGGTGGCTTCCCAAACAAGCTTCCTTTGTGCCCAAATGCCTCCTCTCTTCCCTCTCCCCCCCCCCCCCCCCCCGTGCACACAGTTCCTCCTGCCCCCTTCCTGCCTGCTCCAGCTTCTTGCTGGCTAATCAGCAGCGTTTGGGTCAGGAGACCATGTCTCTGAGATAAGGGCCTTTGCCTGACACTTTCCATGTCAGAGCACTCCATCTTCTGTATATCAATGCCCACCAGAGAAAACACACCGCCTCTGATAAAGGAGGCAACTGTTCCAGACACAAGGGGACAAAAATAAGGCGAGCCGAGCCGAGCCGCCCGCCTGCCCGCCCTCCCCGCCTCCGCTCCGGCCGGATTTGGCCAAAAAGGGCAGAGCAGGAACTGCTCCCTGCACTTGCACGCCAAGCGGATGCTGGAGGCCACGCCAGGAAAGCAAACTGCCAACCCGGCCAAGGAGAACAAACAGCCCCTTTGGAAAGCGCCCACAGCCACCCGGCCGCACTCAAAGCCCGGAGGCGCTCCAATCGGCATCCCGGCCCCGGCCTGCTTCCGAGCACCGATGGGGAGGCAGCAACAGGGCAAAGCTTAAGGTGCACTTTTAGACTATCCCTCCCCATCCCATAAACACAGAGCTGCCGGGGGGGGCTCACCCGTGGCACAAGGGGCCCAGAAAAGGTGCCCAAAAATCTTGTCCCAAAGCTTGGGTGCTTCGTCGCTGGGTGCGGCTGAGCCGGCACAAGCAGCCCTTCCCAATCATCATCCTTCCCAACTGAATGGCTCTCACCTTCGTAACAGGCTTTGAAATAAACAAAAACTGAGAAATCCTGTATCTGGGACACCTCTTTGGCCCATGAGTTTTAACTGTTCCCCTGCTGTTTTCTACGTTTTCTCAGTTTGAAAGGACGCATCGCTCTCCTGACTAGCCGTAGTAAGGGCTGATGCTAAAATAGGTGGAGATTTTCCATCTCCTCGCTTTTGCCCTCGGCACCCCCTGCCACTGGATTGGGGCACCTGAGAGCTTCTCTGGAACGGAACGCGTCCCTCAGGCAGAAAGAGGTGCCCCGTCCTGGACTCATGCAGACTGGCTTTAATGGAAAGAAAGAGAGAGAGGGAGAGGGAGAGCGGGCACATGTGGACGTGGAATCCCGCAAGGGGACCTGGGGAGGCAAAGACGCCCTCCTGCCCGGGTGGCTCCTCCAGGGGCCTCTCTCTGGCTGCCAACCCCCTCCCTGAGCCCCATCCAGGAGGAAAGCAAAGCCACAATGACGCATCTATTAATAAATGCTGGCCCAGCCTAGCTAATGGCCAGCAAAATCTCCCAGATTATCGCAAAGAACAAAGTCCATTTCCCCTCCCCGCTCGCTCTGTGCGCGCGCAGCAGCGGCAGCGGCAGCAGCAGCTCCTCTCGGTGCCCCTAATCTAGGGATCGGTTGCGCTGCCTTTCGTTTCGCCACCCTGCAGGTTAATACAATTCCTCCCTTATCTTATCTCCCCATCGGTTTCCTGGCAAAGCCAGCCTCCGATTGGCTCCCACCAGCCAGCTGGCCTGGAAGTTATCGGAATAATTCTTATCTCCGGGATCATTAACCAAATTGGGCTGGTATCGGCCTGTGCGCCCGTGATAATAAAGTTACAAAAGGAATGGAGGGGAGAGGAGGGGGAAAGGGGGAGCGCAAGGCGAGGGACAGGCCACCGCCTGAAAAGGCTTCCTTTCCTGGGGGGCGGACGGGGAGGCGAGGGGGGGACCCTCTTCCAGGCACACTCCCCGGAGAATCGCCAGCGCACAGATGGGACTGAGAGCGATTTGGACTTTTGCTCTTTCCAAGCCCAGGCAGCGCCATCCTCTCCCTTCGGAGAGCAGCCGACGGCAAGCCAGTTGGACGTTCCAAGGCAGAATATCTTGGTGCGCACGGCTCACCACACGGGGTGCGTGGATACCCGTCATCCTGCAGCAGAATCATATCAACGACAGTGAGAAGAAGAGAGGCTTGGTCAAGCCAGCCCTTTGCTCAGCTCCTCTTCCGCCCTTAAACGTCCCTGCCGCCGGCAGCTCTAGCGCCCTCCCTTTGCCCCCAGTTCTTCAAACGCAGACCACTGCAGCATCCTGGGGCCAGGAGCGGCCTTGGGATCCGCGAGGCCCAACGCCAGCTCTTACCTGCTCTCCAGCAGCCAACCCACGGACTGGATTTCGAGGCGGAGCAGCCTCTCCGCATGCCCACGACAGGGAAAGGGGACAAGCGCTCGGGCCCACGGGCGGAACCAGCCCTCCTGACACAGAGCGTGGGGAAGTTACGCCACGGGGCCCCTTTTCTGAATCACCCAGCGGGCATAGCCAAGGGGGCAAAAGTTGGCTGAATGATCCTAGCAGAAAAAAGGGAACTTCTCCCAGCTGTGCTCTGAATTCAGAACAGCGATATTGACACTGAGGATGGAAAGAAAGCCCCCGGGGACGATGGCGACAAATTCTCGGTGCATAACCGATGCCTAAACAGAGCCTGCACTGGCAAGAGCCGAATCCCTGAGGCTGGGGACCAGGAGCCAGGCCAGGTGGGGACCGCCCAAGTCCCCTGCACCCAGGGGGGGGATCAACAGTGGAGAGGGGGCGCTGACCCACGGGACAGAGGGAACCCCCTTGTGTCCCGTGGCTGTTCATCCAAAGAGGGCGTCCTTTCAAGAGGCGGCCAAAAGCCTTCAAGAAGGGCCCCCAAAGCCCTGACAACTC